ACTAGCACCTATTCTTCTCAAACTATTCCAAAAAACCCAAGAGGAGAGAAGACTCATAAGCTCAGTTTATGAGGCCAACATTATATTAATGCCAAAACCAGATAAAGAAACTACAAAGAAAGGGAAGTATAGGCCAATATCCTTGATGAACATAGATGCTAAAATGCTCAACAAAATATTAGAAAATTGGATCCAGCAATATGTCAAAAAGGTCATACACCATGACCAAGTGGGATTTATTCTAGGGATCCAAGGTTGGTATAATATCTGCAAAGCAAAAAGTGTGCTAAAGAAAATGAAGGATGAAAACCACATGATCATATCAATAAATGCAGGAAAAGCATTTGATAAAATCCAGCACCCATCCTATATACTAAAAGCCTAACATGCTAAGTGTCCAACTGTTCATTTGACTGTTTGACCGTTTGCTATGATGTGCACTGACCACCAGGGGGGCAGACAGTCAACCATTTGACTGGTTGCTATGTCATGCACTGACCACCAGGGGCAGACGCTCTGACCAGTAGGTTAGCTTGCTGCTGGGGTCCAGCTGATCAGGACTGGGCGAGACGACCAGACATGCCCTGGAGCCCTCCCCTAGTCCCTCCCCGGCCCCGATCGTGCACCAGTGGGGTCCCTTGGCCTGGCCTGCGCCCTCTCGAAATCTGGGACCCCTCAGGGGAAGTTTTCAGGCCAGGCCAAGGGACCCCACCAGTGCACGAATCTGTGCACCAAGCCTCTAGTCCAGGGGTGGGCAAACTTTTTGACTCGAGGGCCACAATGGGTTCTTAAACTGGACCAGAGGGCCGGAACAAAAGCATGGATGGAGTGTTTGTGTGAACTAATATAAATTCAAAGTAACATCATTACATAAAAGGGTACGGTCTTTTTTTTTTTAGTTTTATTCATTTCAAATGGGCCGGATCCGGCCCGCGGGCCGTAGTTTGCCCATGGCTGGTCTAGTCTTTGATATATAAAAACCTAATATGCAAATTGTCCCCTTGGGAGTTTGATCGCTTGCTATGACGTGCGCTGACTACCAGGGGGCGGTGCAGAACGAAGGAAGGCCCCAACCGGCAGCCGGAAGGCCCTGCTCAGCCCTGATCGCTGGTCAGGCCTAGGGATCCTACCTGTGCACGAATTTCATGCACCGGGCCTCTACTTTATAATAAAATCTCTCAGGAAAGTGGGAATAGAGGGAACATACTTCAATGTAATAAAGGCCATATATGGCAAACCTACAGTCAACATCAGATACAAGGAACAAAAACTATAAGAGTTTCCCTTAAGATCAGGAACAAGACAGGGTTGTCTGCTTTTACCACTCCTATTCAACATAGTACTGAAAGTTCTAGCCACAGCAATCAGAGGAGAAGAAAAAATGAAAGGCATCCAAATTGAAAAGGAAGAAGTAAAACTCATTATTCATAGATGAAATGATATTGTACATAGAAAACCTTAGAGACTCCACTGAAAAGCTACTAGATCTAATAATGAATTTGGCAAAGCAGCAAAATATAAAATTATATTTAGAAATTGGTAGCATTTCTATACACCAATAATAAACTATCGAAAAGAGAAACTAAGAAAACAACTTCATTTATGATTGCATAAAAATACCAATGTAAAAGACCTTTACTCAGAAAATTACAAGATTCTGTAGAAAGAAATTGAAGAAGATACAAATAATGGAAAGCATATATCATGTTCATTGATAGGAACAATTAACATCATTAAAATGTCCATACTACCGAAAGCAATCTATAGATACAATGAAATTCCTGTCAAGATACCAATGGCATATTTCACAGAACTAGAATATCCAAAATGTATGTGGAACCACAAAAGACCCTGAATACCCACAACAATCTTGGGAAAGAAGAACAAAATTGGAGGAATCATGCTACCTGATCAAGCTATACTAAAAGGCCATAGTAATCAAAGCAGCATGAAACTGGCATAAAAACAGACATAGAGGTCAGTGGAACAGAATAGAGCCCAGAAATAATCCCATGCCTTTACGCTGGTCAATTAATATTTGACAAAGGAGGCACAAACACACACTGGAGTAAAGACAGTCTCTCCAATAAATGGTGTTGGGAAAATTGGACTGATATGTGCAAAAAAAACAAAAAAAGAGAAAAGAAAAGAAAGAAGGTAGGGCAACAACCTACACAATACACAGAAATAAAAATGGATAAACTTAAATTTTAGACTTCAAAACATAAAAATCATAGAAAGTAAATCCTGGA